GTGTAGTTATTATAAAGTGTTACTGTGTTTTTTATCTGTTGTGTTATGAATAGTATGTTGTCAATATACAGGGATTCAACATGTACTGTATCTGTTTATGGATTGAGTTTTGTTGACCCCTATAAATAGTCATACCTTCTGCTCACTCTATTTACCCTGATGAAAACTCATAAGTAACATGACTGTTAATAAAAACATCACAAATCAGAATGCCTCTGCCAACAAGACTTCACGCCCTCTGGTCTGAGCGCACCTGTATGTGTAAGTTTTGATCCAGTGCAGCGCTCCAATGTCAACATTTTTACCTCTACAGATATGTTCTGAATTGCAAGAGATTATTGTATTAGTTAAACAGTTCTTATTATTGTGCTTTTAGGGTGACCATGTTTACCACCTGTCTAGGCACTGCAGATGAAAAAACCTCTTTAGCTAATTCTGGTACATTTACAGAGATGTTCATTTATGTACAGTCCCTGCCAAACAAACAAACAAACAAACAAACAAACAAAAATATATATCTGTCTTAAATATGAATGCACCTGGAATTGTGTACATTTTATCATTTCATCTGCCTTTAAAACTTGAAAATTTATCACAATATGGCTTCCCGTCTTTTCATCTAGTATTAAAATGTAGTGTAATTGTTAAAGCGTTGGAAATTGGGACTTGTCAAAGTGTCATCCGCGCTATAGAGCAAAAGTAAATAACTGTTAATGAGCACAATTAAAACAGTGAAAAATGAGAAGGAATCCATTTTGTCTTTTCTATAAATCACACAGACCATTTCACATCCTAAACCAGGAACAGCCAGAGCAAATAGAGATGAATTCTGATGTGGTTTTATTAGTCACTTCCCAAACACGCCTTATTTATGGACTCTGACAAATCCTATTCAGTGCACCAGCGAGCACCCACCATCCAGCCACATAATAAATACAACACTTATTTGATCTAACAGTGAGAGTTATCACATTGTTTCGCAGTAAACAGGGGCAATGCATTTCTTCATTTGATGAGTTGGGGCTGCTACATGCGAGTCGGTGTCTGTCTCATCAGTAGATCTAACATTCATCGGATAAACTCATTGGCACTTGCTGGAAGTACGCCTCGGGCAATAACTACGATCTCCTGCCATGTACAAGCTTGTGCAGGCCGATATAGAGCACAACCAATACTGTACTCTGCGCTCCCAGCTATCTATCTCAACAAAATGGTCGCCCCTGTCTTCATCAATGAGAGAGAAAGTGCAATTTGTTTCGAAATTGAAATGCAGATTCTGTAATAATGCGATTTTCATAGACTGATGTGAGGAAGGAAAAACACCATCTGGTAAAACATTGTGACTGTACTGACAGGTAAACTGGATCACTTTGATTTCTTTGTTGATAAGGGTTTAACAAACAGAGAGAAAAGCGTAAACAAAAAAAAAGTAAAGTATTGAAGCTACATTTTGGGAGGTGATTTATTTCATTGTTGGTTTTTTGTTTGTTTTGCATAATTGTGAAGCTTAAAGGGTGCATTGTGTAACTTTTCTGGTGGAGGGTCTGTCAAATACTTTCTTCATGGAGATGTTATTGCTTTTTTATCTGAAATATTTCAAAATATGGCATTAAACCTTTCTACCTTTTTGTACAGGTTAGATCTGTGCAGAGGCAACCCTAGTCACAGTCAGAATGGCTATTTTCTAGGTATTTTTGAGCAGTAAACCCACCTGTAATTGAATAAATGTTTAATGTCATACTGTGGAACATTCCAGGCAGAGCACTGACATATCCATAAAATTGAGCCGGTGACGCACCCCAAACCAAAAAGTTACATACTGCACCTTTAAATAAAAAGAAAAAATATATTTTAATTCCACTGAGTATTGTTCAGACGTTTCTTTTCATTTATTTTTTATTTTGCCTTGAACATGTAAGCTTTTGTCTGAGGCTTTTGTGGACTCCTCACGTCACTCTTTTGAATTCACAAAGCCCTGTTGCATGATACATTTTCACTTGTCATCTTTTCAATAACTGAAGGTGGTTTGTTGTAGATGTGTCCTATTACTGGGTCTGACCTTCACACTGTGTAGAATTAGTGCTTCCTCTTGTGTAAATGAGAAGTCTGTAAACTCTGGCCGCCAATGGTTTACTTCATCTCCTTATGAGCCTGTCGCTCTCATCCTTTTTTATTTGAAATCCTGCATCTGGTAATTTCATAATTATGGGAGGGGATTATAACGAAGGCAGCCAGAGCGCCAGGTTAATTGGATTTTTCACCTCGACGGGACCAGATCTAAGTCGCCTATGGGCCGTGAGTGTGGCTGTTTGAAGTTGGGGACAGGACAAAAGAGATGGAGGGAAGAAAGGAGTGAGAGCCTTTGACTTGAAGACTTGGAGAAGTTAGTGTTGCTGCCAGAGTGTTTTTGGCGTGGAGGTGGCGGCTCACTTTGAGGCTGATGCCATCTATAATTGCAGTTGTGTTTTCCACTCTGAGGAGTCAGTGGAGTGACTCCCAAACTAGTTATTGATAACCTCTGAAATGTGCTGAAGGATTGGGAATAAAACTTTGAAAGAGGGTGAATACACCTGATTACAAGAGGAAACTTTTATATTTATTCATGCCCCCTCAGGGCTTTTTAAGAAAGATGTTTTTATTGCTGGCAAAATGGTGTTAATGAACTGAATCTGAAAAAAAACCCCAAAAAAACATCTTTTGTGTCATTTCCCTTTATTCCACAACACTAAATACCAGACTTTGAGTGTTGTTTTATAGTTTATTTATTTAGGCATGGGACTGGCAAAGGTTCATCAGATCTACCCCAGTGTATAGCATTAGTATTTATAACAATTATCCATTCTGCCAAAATATTTTTCAATTTCTGCAAGTTTATAATAACAGAGTTTAGACCTGATGCCCTTCCTCCACTCTCCATTTGTCCAGGGTTGGAACTAATACAAAGAAACAGGATCTATCTCCAGATTTAATGATTGTTTAGAACTTTAGATGTCAGTTTCCTTTTCTAACACAATCCTCTGCATTTATCAAGGCTTGGTATTGACACAATCACTAACTCTTTATGAATAAACCTTGAAAAATACATCACAGGGAAGCTTCTGTCATAGTTTGTCTGTTTAGCAATAACCTGCATTGGTTACACTACATTATGATTTTCATCAATTGGATCATGACTTTCCACTAATTGCATCATCTCCATGAGAGCCCCCCCGATGGAAAATATGAGCTCTTTCATTTCCATGTGTTTTTCTCACATTAGTCTTGTGTGTGTTAGTCAATAACACATCCGTCTTTAGCGCTTCACCTCCATTCTGCTGACAGGCTTCTAGTTCTGTGCTCCACAGAGCACTGCTGCGCTGCTCAGTGGGACCAGAGGAGCTGCGGCCCCTCGGCTCATGGCCTATTTCTGAATCCATGTTTGACATAGACCCACTGTCTGGAGCTGAGGAGAACAAGAGGAATTCAACAGTGTCCTGCAATGAAAGAACCAAGACTGTCTGGCCCGGACCCTGGTCACTGCCAAAACTGACACTGTGTTATTGTTCTGCAATTAATAAAACTTTGTGTAATATAGGTACAGTTTTATGATGTGCTACTTTTATATAAGAGCTGTTATTTATAGCTTTTTTATAATTGAAATATTAAAATAAATCTGCTGTTATTATAACAACAGATTTTAATAACATAGCATACTAGTAAAAAATAATAAATGAATAATTGTGTAAAGAAAAGTATATTTGGCATCTGTAAAGTAAAGAGGACGCCTCCATGGCTCACCTGGCTGCAGGTATTTTGTAAACAACACAAGTCTAATTCCCAATTGGGAACATTTCTATTCCAGTTTCACGTCCTGATTTACGGCATACGTTGTACTGCACATAAAAACAAAAACTTTATAAATGTACTCATAAGTCCTGTAGTCATTTTGCCTCACCACCACTGAAACACAATCTGTGCATATTCTTCCATTTGGACTCATATACTATGAAACGTATATGTATCCTATTTAGCAGCTGCTAAAAATGACTATGATTTTCCGTCATTATTACGCCTTGTGTCATTATGTTTGCCATTTCAACAGTCAGTCACCTCAACACAGACTGACATTCAAGTGCTCTGTGCGCAGGATCACCTAAACCACCATAACTCTTTTTCTGTGACAATTTTGTAGCCTCGGATAATTGCTCCAAATGTCACCTAATTGTGGAAAAAAAGTCAAAACAACACACATCCCACACGGCATTATGTGCAGCCACTCTGACATAAAGTGCTAGGTTTTTATTTTTTTATTTTTTGCCAACTCCTGACTCACTTCCTTCAAAGCCAAATGGTAAACAGTGCAATTTGCAGCTTCCCCACTGAGCGCTGTCACTTTGCCTCGACTGGTGTTGTATTAAAATGCTCCATAATTTAGCATTACCTGAGGCATAAAGTGAACCAGACGTGACTAGGAGCCCCGGCATCTGCAGTAGACATTAATTAAAGCCAATATATGTCATATATGCAGATGTATTATGGGTAATGTATTTCCACGACGCCAGCCAAGTGGAACATTGCAGCCCTTGTTAGCTCTATGGGCCTATGGTCGGCTAATGGTGTTATATAGGACAAGTACTTGTTCAATAATGTGATAAGGTGGACAATGCGGGGAACCAGTGTCATTTTTCGAACCTTTATTAGTGTTACAACCACACATAGGGAACATAATTTTACAATGCAATTTTCCTACCTGAGATTCTTAAACTTGAATCACATGGGGATTTGGCTTTTCTAACACAGATGGAGAAATTAGCTTTATCTACTATGCAGCAATTCAAAAAAGTTAAATAAAATTGCTAGAAAACCAAATTTTGCTTCAAGGTGCTTGGGACATACTTACAACCTGAGTAAAAAGTATACTTCATTCATAACAAAATAATGACTTTTTTCAACTGTTAAAAAAGAAACTGTCAGTTGACAAAAAATCTCACATTTATTTTATTTGTTAAACAAGTGTTGAAATTTACATCAGTCTTAAGTGATGAGCCCCTTGGTAATATGTTTACATAAAAAATGAGCTACAGTACAGCAAATATACCAGTGCTGGAAAATATTCACACATTTTCCGTCCATTTGGAAAGTTTTTCAATAAATTAAAACGGTTCAAACCTGGTGGAAGAACTACATTTATCAAAGCAACGTTTTTATTGTCAAGTCAGTTTCAGTCTCTCTTCCCGTCGCTCCGGTATAAAGTTAAGTTACACAAAAAAACTGTGCAATGCGTACAATTCACCCTATAACCTGTTTATCCCATTCTACTAATGCCACTAGAAATCAAAGCAATAGTCTTAAATGGGCGTAAGCAAAACACTGTTCACAAGTGGATAAGGTGAGTATGCCATTTGTTGGACCTTCCATATTTTCCTAAACTCTCAAATCTACTACCATGAATGAAGTGTTAAAACCATAGACACGCTGTTTAACATATGTGCACCTTCTACACAATAGTCTCTCAAATGTTAAAATTTTGAAAGTAAAAGGTTTCTCCGTATTTACTGTCTCCCAGGATTTTTACACTAGCAATACAACAAAATATATCATTTAGCAATTTCCTCGACAACAGTTCAAATGTACAGTTGAGAAAATATAAGGCCAGGGGCTTGATTGCTAGTGGTTATACAATCCAAACTTCATGTGATGGGAGTGACTGGGCCTGCATATTCCCACACCTTTAAAAGTCTGAGGGAATATGTGAGTCCGTGTGCTGATCCGTGTGTGCTGTTTGTCTACAATAAAACCAGGATTTCATAAAGATGGACGTGAATGTATGTACAGCCTTTAGATTGGGAGATTTCTGATTCAGTGTACCATTTTATGTTTTTGGCCTTTTTAGTGTTTATTACTGTTGTACTTTAAAATTCATTTATTCAACAGCAGCAGCACATTTAAATACATAGTTGGTTTGTCTCTTTAAATTTAAATTCCACTCTGCATTGTATGTACAGTCTAGAACTTTGCAATGCCATCAGAGTCTGTTGGTCTGAGGACAAAGTGGGTCGAGTGGCATGTCTGAATCGAGATGGCAACGCAGATGGGGGAGGTGAGGCTCCAAAAGGTGGCGATGCCCAGGGGCTGCTAAGCTCTGTTAAAAATAAAACCTGCGCCCGGGTAGCTTGACTGGAGTGTCCTCTCAGAGGCAGGGGCTGCAAAAGGACGAGGGGACGGGGCTGATTTCAATACATTTAAAGGCTTGTCACTAACTGCATCTGTCCTTCCCGTACGTCGCCTTCGGGGATGCAGTCCTCTTTGTTGATGGGGATAATATAGCCATCACTGCTCCCTCGGCCTATCTGGTAGTAGGCCTGGAGCTGGTTGCTGGAGCCCAGGTTGGGCATGCTCTTGTAGAAAGTGTCCTCAGCCTCGCTCCTTTTGGACGGGGACAGGTCGTCCACCACGTCAGGGCTGCTCTCGGGGAAAGGAGAGTCCCTCAGATTTGGCATGCTCGTGTATAGTGAGTCTCTGTTAGGGGACTGGGGGCTGTCCTCTGTGTTGGTGGTGGTGGTGAGCTGTGTGGTGTAGGTGTCCTCGTCCACGTCCGCCCTGCCCTTCCTCTGGGGGGCGTACAGGAGAGAGTGAGTTCTCTGGGGGATGAGCGGAGCCTCCAGCTCCAGGCCCACAGGGTCGTGCACCAGGGACGTGGCGTCGGCCACGATGGCGTCGTCCTCGCTGCTGCTGCCGCCCACCACGGTCACCCTCGGCGGAGCCCGCTCCGTGTGGTGCCGGTGGTGGTACTGCGGGGGCGCGCGGGGCCGGGGCGGGTGGTGTAAACTCAGGTGCTGCTGCTGCTGCTGTGGGGGCGGTGGGGGTGGGTGGCTCTTGTTACAGGCACGCAGGTTGTTGTGTACTAATTCAGAGATGATCATTTTCTCAAAGGCAGCGTCATCCAGACTCAGGCCGCAGTCTACTACCTGCACACTGTCGCCAAAGTCGCCGTTGCGTAGCGAGTAGCTATTGTTAAAGTTACCATTTAGCGGTAGTGTATCCATTGCACTTGTATCCCTCACCACGTTGTTCAGTGAGTGCCCTGCAAACAGAGAGAGACGTGAGGGGATTTCACATTAGTCAGTCGCAAAAAGCAGCAAATGTCAAGCAAGTTTAATGCTGTTTAGGATGCAGTGTCACAAGTCAGATTAAGCCATGCCATAAACTGGTTAGTTAGGCACAATCCTTCACAAACAATAAACTCACATGCATCATTTGTAGTGAGAAATCATTTTACTTTCTGGCATTTTTATACTTTATTTTCCCTTTGAAAAATTGCTTTTTAAAAGCAGAGCACTATGCGTTTTAGTTCGCCACAGACGTGACACAGCGATGAAAAAGATCCCAAACAACATTAAGTGACAAACTGGGACATTAATCACTATCACAGACACATGGGGCAAAGGAGATGTCCACAGGAATGAAGCCGCAAGCGGGCGAGCTACAATACTCAAGAGGTTTTAGCAGCTAATGGGTTTGGTTGTGCCGAGGGAAAGAAAGAGACAAAGATGAAAAAGATGACATGGACAAGAAAGGGAAAATATTTGTGTATCAACATGGGACAGCCATCTTTGTTCTCACTACAAGGGGAGCCAACAAGCAGCACTCCACCATCACCACACACAGCAGGTGAAGAGACTCACTGAAGACACTCACATCATGTCTGTCTGCTCAGCCTATCTGGTCTAAGAGCAGCTGATGTACAAAAGAAAGTAAAATGATTTATTGGAACATGAAAAAGAAACAACAAAACAAAGTCTTAACTGCAGCTTAGCGGGAGCAAGGGTTCAGCAAATTAGGGAAACAAGCTTTAAAAGAGCTTTTTGTCTGACAAATTTAATGCTACGTTTGTTGTGGGCTCTTTGTTCTGGGGGCTTGCTGGCGTTACTTGGTGGTTTGAGTCTCCAAAACTGGTAAAGGTCAGATCTCGCCCGCAGCCCAGCACTTGGCATCTGTCACGCTGACAGCTCCCCGAGTCCCTAACAGAACCAGTGCAGAATAACAGAGGAGCGGCTGGGGTCACTGCCGGTCATGTCAGGAATGTCTTTGGGCATGAGGGTCAGGCCAAACACCAGCAAAAACATAAATATTAGCTTCTTCATGATTAAGTGAGCAGATAAAGGAAGAATGTGGACCATAGCTCAGATAGAGCGCTTGTAAAACAACAGATTAATGTGGAGATTTCACAGCTACCATAAAGTCACATTTAACAGTGACGAATTGAAGCTGCTGTGGGGAACGTTTTCTTAGTTAAGGTGTGGGGGGACTGAATTTGAATAGTAAGGAGGTATGCTATAGTTATTTGTGCATTTTATTAATACTGATGCCATCAACATTTCTGGGAAACTGACCAAAGGCAATTTCTTGATTTTGCTTTATTTTATTTTATTTTTTTTGCCAGAGTACGTTTGAATAATTTAATGAACCACTTGCTCATTGAGTGTGTGTTAATGGCCTAAATCAAAAGTAAAACCAGTGATTGTGCCGGGTTGGTTCGGTTGTTTTTAAATAAGCATGCTGAAAAAAATTTACATTTGATAGGCAAAGTTAAGTTTTACTCCCATACTTGTCTCTCTGTAGGTCACTATAGGGGGAAGCACAAGGGAAGAGCACAAACAATGGAAGATGTTGTTTCAGTTTCACAGTTACAGTAGGGCATTCTTCATTGTTAGCCACACAGTACATCTTCATATGTATGTACCCAAGGCTTAGCGCAAAAGCATTAGGAAACATGTGTTTTAAGGCACAAATAATGAATCACCTGATAAACCGTGCAGCATAAATCTTAATAAGCATGCAGTTTAAACTAGAGCTTCACGTCTTTACCACTGTTTACATTATCTCCAGCCTGAACACACAGTATCCTATTCCACTCTTAATCATTATGTCTCATTCCGGGTTTGGAAAAGGGAAATCCGAGAGTGCCCTGGGTGGATCAGGACCAACCACAGGAATCTGCACCCACAATGTGAACATGTGCTGGGCTTTACACATACACAGTGGATATGTGCACTACCACACAAGGACTATTACACTCTAATGTTGTACCAACACAACTCTGAATAGGGTGGGGCACTGTGAATGTCAACACAACAGTTTTACAAGTTCAATTCAAATGAATAATAACTTAATTTGAAAAAAGCCTCAATCAAAAAGCCTGGGACAATGCTGCATTTGACACAGTCTCAGCGAAAGATGAGTGTGAGTATGTAATTTTTCTGGTGGAGGGTCTGCCATCTGCATTTCTCTGTGGGGATGTTATTGTTTGTCTAGAATGTTCCACTATTTTGCATTAATAAATCACACATTTTTGGTCAATTATACCTTGAATAACATGTATTCTTACTGAGGTTGCATCTCCGCAGATCTGATCTGTAACTTGGCATGGTGTCCAGGGTGACAGATAAATTTCATGCCATACAGTGGAACGTTGTTTTCAGGCAAAACAATAGCATTTCCACAGAGAAAAAAGAGACGCTAGACCCTCCATCAGAAAAGTTACACAGTGCACCTTTAAAACATCATGTTATAAACAGTACCCCAACTTATTCAGATTTTGACAACATTAGAAAACTCTGTGTGGATTTGTGGGAGAATGATTAAGAGGGAACAGTGAAGCTAGACTATTGGCAGCTCTTGGATGGCTGTAACCTTCTATAAGACACACAAGCAGAGCAGAGTGAAAGCAGTGAAGAATAAAGAAGCACACCTGGCGAGTTAAAGACTGGAGCCGTGGGGGTGTTACATACGACTGTCTCGGCCAGTAAGGTGTTATAAGGGTTGTTAGTGCCTTGAGGTCGCAGAAGAGGGTTTGTTAGTAGATAATTTCCGGTCATTCCTACAAAGTGTAAAGACAAGTGCATACATTTCAGAAAATCATATAGCAAACACAAAGCAGACGGAGACATTTAATAGAGTGAGGAGAGATGAGGGAGGATGCAGTAAGCCTGTTTTAAGAGCCAGTGAATGTCATTGGGGTGTAGTTTGAATTGGATCGTTTGTTTAGGGGGTTAGGAGGCCAAATAAAAGTTGGATGACACTTTATTTTACACCACAGTCTAAACACAATTCATCAGTGTTGAATGCAAACCTCGAATTGTCACCTCATAAAAAATTTTGTAAACACATTTATAAGACATCATATTTTTCCATACGTACTGCTAGTAGTGTTATCTAATGAAGAAACATTACAAACATAGTGAAGCATAGTAACAGTACATTAATTACACAATTACTTTATATTCAATTCATATTTTTTATGAATATTACCATCTAAATACTCATAATAATCATAATTTAAACACTGTATAGCATATGGCTGAAGGGATTATACAGTATATTATAGGGAAAGGACACAAGATCTTACAAAAAAATGAAGAGAAAAAAATAATCTTGTGAGATTTTTTTTTTACATTTAGACTGAGCAAAAATAGGTTAAGTGTTGTTGAGTTACACCTCTTATAGTTCCAGAAAGTAGTACTAGAATGGTAACAAAATATAAAATTAAATAAATCAAATCAAAACAATATTGGAAACTGGCAATTCGTAAATTTTATATACTAGGAATAATGTAAAAATCTCTCTCTTCCTATCCCTAGTATATAATCTAGTGGTGTAAAAGAATGTGTGACCAACAACATCTTTATTTTGACCAGACGTCTTTTCCTTTAAAAGCTACTGAACCTTTCCGGTGGCCACCTAAGGTACTGCGGTATTCCCCTGCTATCCATCACTCGCGCTAAATGCCACCTGTCATGTTCTTAAGTCTCCAGGGATCTTTTTAATGACAGGGAAGTGCTCTAACCCACTACCATTACCCCCTTGAGTGATCAATACAAACCCTCTACATTAACAAAATGTCTATAAGAATTATGGGGCCAAAGCATGATCCAGTGTGTTTTATTTTGTGGCACGCGACAGCCGCAGAACCACAGAAGAAAAGGGAAATGGACATGTATAGCTGCAGCATCAGAAGTCGCAAGAGGGAGGAGGAGAGGAGGAGAGGCGAGCTCGGAAAGCCATTTGAGATACAGGGAACACGCACTACGCATTCCAGGTCAGCCAGAGTTGAACATCATCTTCTCATCATCATATTTGTGCTCCAGCTAAATAATAAATGACAGCGCCTTTTCCCTCTAGCCTCACTCATAAATCCCTCTCTAAAGTAACACAGGTCACCTCAGATGCCCCACGACAAATAGTGCTCTTTCTGAAATGTATTTTTGCTGATAATATCTTAGCTCGAGTCAGCCGGATTTTTCATACACAAACTTTGAACTTGCCCCAATTTAAGTCAGATGTTACTGGTCAGATGGAGATAGCACAAGATATTTGCTAACAGATTTCTTTAATCCTTTTTTGGCAGGACTATGCAGTACTGTGCAAAACTATGAATAGGTGTATCAGTGTATACTCGATCCACAATAATAGTAATAATGTTGTCCAGGGCTGATACTAAAATTTAATAAAATCTTTCATCTAAAAAAAGAAAAAAGACATATCCACATAGTACAGCAGACTCTCCACTCCTTTACTCTATAGACATTATTGTGAATACCAGGGCTAGAAGTGTATGGCTGAAACCACAGGGAGGTATTTTTAGCTGGATGATGAAGCGTGTGCATAAAGTGTGTGTGTGAGCAGAGATGTGGTGGGCACTGACCTTGGTTGAGGGTGGAGGTGCTGTTGATGTCACCTGAGATAAAGGAGGACTCCGATTGCTTTCTTACGGTGTCATTCCACATTCTCCTGATTCGACTCTGCCAGGTCAACAAGGGACAAGGGCCATTAGCTCTGTTTTATGTTTATTTTATTTATGTCTTAAAGTAGTGGGGCATTAACTGTACTGGGGGACACGGGCGCTATGAATACATGTGTGTTTTTCAGATGACCTATATATGTTTTGGTTGACTACATATAGTGTACTAGTATTTTAACCTATACCAGTTATCTGTTGGATGAACTGGGTTTATGAACAAAGTCCCAACGGTTACACCAAATGTAAGTCTCCACCAGTCAAACATTAACCTTTAAATGTTATTTCAGTTTTAAGCTTGTCTCATGCTTTTAAATATATATATATATATTCTTCAGTATATCACTGCTTGTGTCAGCTTTGCTAAAAAGCTGCTGACCACCAGCTGTAAAGTTTGTTGTCATGTCCATTAGTAACTTTATTCACAAAGGCCATCTGAGCGATGGATGCAGCTCCTTCTGTAGAAGCACAATGCCTATACTCTCCTCATATACATAAGTGCTGGCAGTGCTGTTTAAACAGTGACATATTTCTCATGCTGGTGACGTTAGTGTTGAAAAGATAAAAGCAAGTGCTGAGGGGGGCACAGCCGAACAAACGTACTCATGCAGTACAGAGCATGGTGCAGTCTTGATCTGACTGTAGACCTAATACAAGTCACTTTCACTGGAAGCGGGAGCGAATGATACAGTTTGTCCTACCTGTGTCCCAGAGGAGTATCTGGCACTTGTCCTGGTGGTGGAGGTTTTGGCTGAGCTGTGGGAGTTCTCGGTGGGCAGGCCTCCGCAGCAGTACGTGTGGCGGAAGCACTTGCTGTACTCTTTGCGGACCTGCATAAGCAAACAGGCACCAGTTTACACTACATGTTGACTTTACATATGACTGATCCTGGAATCTACACGCCGGCTCTATTGATTCTTCATATCAGCATACAAAGCCCAGCGCATTCCCCCAGAGCCTCCTGTTTAAAATTCACCGCATTTTAAACCTGAAAGAAAAGAGCGTGGGGCCTACCTTTTTCTGCAGAAGACAGTGGAAGATGAAGATGAACATTCCTTGGAAAGTGTTGAAGATGGTGAAGAGGTACGCCATGACGATGGAGGCCTCGTTGATGAAGAAGAGGCCGAAGGACCACGTCAGACCCAGCAAACACAACAGAGCGAAAGCACCCATCACCCAAGACCTGCAACACAAATCAAACACAGCCATTACATAAAGGGCCTGTGGTGTTGCTATGGGTTTGATTGTGGCTAAGAATGAGAAAGAAGGGAAAAGATTATGAACCATGTGAGAGAAATACATGTACATGATATAGGTTACAGGCACATCTTTAAAATAAAATATTGTAGAAAACATACATTTTAATATCTCATCTTTATAGATTGAACTTCCATATTATGTTTTATGACTTAATCCATGTATGTTTCACTTTTCAAATAAACTTTCACACAATATTCAGATTTCTTCAGATGTGCCTGTAATTTAATACCCCTACTTCAATATCCACAGGTCCTGCCTTGAATCTTGATGTTTTTGATGTAATTTAGCTTGGCATAACTCTGGAATCAGCCTGTTTGTTATCTATGGCGTGCTTCAAGTCGGTTTAAATTGACAAAGATTCCCGGCTTGTGTGTGAAGGTCTACGGGGCCTTCACACTAGGGATGTAACAATAACTGTCTAAAAGTCTCACAATAATATCGGAGGCCATCGAATTATAAGTTTCTTCGCTTAAATGAGTTGTCATGGTGACTGTAATGTTTTCCTTACTCTGTAAAGCACTTTGAATTACTTTGTGTATGAATTGTGCCATAAAGATAAACTTGCCTTGCCATGGTGCAGCAATAGCTAAAAAACAGAAGGAACTACACAGACCATGATCCTTTGGTATTGCCAATGAAGACTACATGAAGAAATAACTATAACTGAGCACTTTTAAATCTTAATTGTTCATATTATAACAGTACCAAAGGCTCTTCCAAGTCTTTTAAAGTGAAAAAATTGCATATTCTTATAAGCCTCCACAAAATATTGCAAAAAATATCAAACCGTGAGATGCATATCGTGAAAATATCGTATCAGAGGATTTTGATATCGTTACATCCCTGCTTCACACACCAGCTCAGACCACTATTCAAACACATATGTCCACACTGATGATGATGGAGGGACGTGAGTTTCAAAGAGAGGATGAAACGGCGAGAGGAACATCGGACAGACAGAGGGAGCAGGAAAAGTCTGAGTAAGAACTAGAGTCTAGAGGTTTCCAGCGTGTCCTTACTTGATAAAGCGTTTATTATCTTCATAGCTACAGAGAGCAGGATGAGCAGGAAAAGAGAGACACAGTTAGAATAAGCGTGGGTTAGTGGCCATGTATGTTAGTATGATGTTTGATCAACTGAAAGGTTAAGACTTGTATATGTATGGCTGCAAATGCTTTACTTGTAAACCAAATTCTGCAAATATTATGAAAAAAAATCTCTCGATATTGAGAAAATTTGCAGTTTAAATGGTACAACTTTTGCACCATGCCTGGAAAAATCATCTATCCAAGTATTATATTTTATTTATTTATTTTTTCATGTGTATGATAAATAAGTAAATAACATGCATATCTAAAGGGGATATAGACATAAGAAGACTATTTGCTACTACTACTTTTAATTAGCCTTAATAAAGAACGAAAACAACTTAATTCATTATGAACAAACAATAACATTATGATGAGTGTCTCTGATGTATGTGTCTCTATAGGATTGTTGCTGGAAGACTGATGTGTCTGTGTCTTGGAGTGTAAATAGTGTAAACAATTGTTCTCTGAATACTGTTTCATTTTCATTTTTTCATTTTTTTGTTTTTTGATTTTGTATTTTGTCATTAGAACAACATTAACGTCTGTCAAAAGGACTACACACAAAAAAGTCTTCCTGGTTAATTCTGGCATATTTACAGAAATATTCATTAATATTCACTGTCCCTGAAATAAATAAATAAAATATGTTTATTAAGAATGATTCAGGCTTAACTGATGGGTTGGGGTTAGGCACTATTTGTTTATTATGAAATGAGGCTAATTAAAACTGAATTACTCCAAAATATCACCAACTATTCACTATGGTGTGTCACTCCAAAGCATCTAAAATGGTTCATATTTTAGTGATAGTTTTTAGTGATAGTGTATTTGCAATGTACAGCACAAGCTTACCCAGGCAAATCTGTATTATAGTAGCCATCACATACGCGATAAGTACTGTGAAGCGCAGGACAGAGACAGAGAGAATGAGATAGAGAGAGAGCAGAAAAGGGAATGCGTTAACTTGGGCTTGACATGCAGCATGCAGTGACACTGGTGCTATGTTCACTAACACAACAGCAACAAAAGAATACATGTATATGCACACAGATCCATGTGTCACTATGTTCACTAACTGCGGTTTCTCTGATGAGGCACTAGGCTGTCGCAAATAAACCAACAAGTCAAAATAAGCCCTTTTTCCTCAATGCCGGCCCTGATTGCAGTTTTACCACAACGCTGTAATGTTGCACGCTTTCATTAAGGGAAACAAAAAAATAAAAATAAACAAAGGGTAAAAATAGAAGAGCTGCTACTGCTGTGATTCCTGTTTGCAAAGGAAAAAGTAATGAAACAAGTACAAACACACGTACAGTAGCAAATTGGAAATCTCTGGCGTTCTATCTTACAATAAATACATCATTCATGGGAAGCGGCAACCACCAAACACAACAATTAAAAAGACATTGGTTTTCATTTCAAAGCGAAGCAGTTGTAACTGTATGGGAAGCGGGTGGTGGTCTGGCGAAGGCTGCGGTCTGAAATTCTCTTCTGAGATCTATTTAGGAAAAGGGGTGTTTGACGTGTTCCAGAAGTAAATTCTCTAACAAAACACACACTCGTCATTATAACTACGTGGGGACATTCGCTGCGATTTGGCATGTAATTACGCATTTGTATATTTGTATCCAAGATGGAATTTTTACTGCTAAATGGCAAGTATAAACACAATTGTATTTGTTATTTAAGTGGGGAAAATGGAATAAGGAATTTCCTGGAATGTCCTGCGCAACTTTCTTCACTTATAATACTAGAACTTGGTTTTTGAGTATCATCCATGAGTTTCTAAGTGATGAAAAAATAGCGCTGTTGCCAAAGCAATTAACAGTTTGAGACAAAATATGAAGTTGAAAGGATAAAAGTGCTCAAAATGGTGCCAGTAAAAAGAAGCTGAAACCTTAATTTTCATTGTTTCTCCAAACACAAATGTACAGAAAAAAACATCACATAATTTTCCAGTCAAATATGTTCTAAAAATCCACTATTGATTGACGTGTCCTCACTTGGTAGTATGTAAAGGCGCACACACAGCCTGCACCGCGCTCCAGCACACACAGTTAAACTCCAGCAGCTTTATGATGTGAGTCAGGCCTCGTTCGAGTCTGTGGCTTGGATCCACACAACAGAGGACGAACCAGACAATTCACAAAGTCATGAGCAGTCAGCATTTGAGATCTGTCTATTCCCCGCAAAAAGAACACACGAGGACAAAGCAAAGTCTATATGATTCTTTTGGAGCACACGGTTATGAGTAAGATCATTATCACAGAAATAAAAGGGGTTTGCTGCAGGCTACAGCAGCAGAACAGCACCAGTGTTAAATGTTGGTAGTGCGTGGGTTTGTGTATGTGACTCTTTAACTTACTTTATATTCTCCAGTCGACTTGAGTCTGGTTTCAGGGTGGTGGAGTGCTTCACCATTTTGTACATTGTGATGACCAGGAAGATGAGGTTGAGCTGTCAGAAACACACAGATGACAGGGTTAATGCTTATAACGTTTATTAAAATGAAACAAAAATAACAAAATAGTAATGCGTCATTTTTGTTTTCATAAAAAACTGATCATCCAATTAAATGTGATATTTTTAATATAAAAATGGTATCACAGAAGTAGAAGTGTACCAAATTCTCCTTTCCTAAATGATTGGACTTTTGAAGGTATTCAATTTAAAATGTATAGACTTAGACAAACTTTCCTCCACAAAGGAAATTATTTGGACACAGTAGCTCACACATCACAATATAATATAATAACAAAGAACAAAAATATGAAGGGGGGTAATTTCAAAATAAGTAGCAAAAATAACTAGATAAATAAATAAATGAATAAGGCATAATTACATAAATGTATATGTACTAGTAAAAAAAATAAATAAATTTATATATATATATATATATATATACACACACACACACACACACACACACACACACATACATATAATACAAATATTACAATTTATTAATTTTACATTTTGTTCAGTGTAAACCACAATATTGTCCTAAAACAAGGTAACAGAAACGGTCCATTGACTGTTCCAAACTACCGAACTGATTCAAAGTGGCATTTCAGTGTAACAAAATGTGGATTTAAATGTTGAGAAATTCCCATGTGACATTTTTAATCATTTGTGTTTGACCTCAAGTTAACACCTTTAATCACAAGCACACAGAAGTGGGGGGAGATAGGGGTAGGTGAAAACAGAAATGTCTCGAGCACTCAAGTCTCAAATGCAGGACAATAGAGGATTACTCAGACAGGCATTAACCAATGAAAATACAACTCTAAGTAAGTTTATTGTGAGGGAGAACCATTATAATACGGTTAAAAGCTCTTGAGAGTCTATTTTGTGTAATATGTCTCCTTTAAAACAAAAGGCCTATATGACATGTTATACATGATAAGACACTGGGCTTGTTCAGTATCAAGGTGGATACATGGAAGTGAATGATTCAAATATAGCATAAGACAAGAGGGGGAAAAAATCTGTTAATTCGTATTTATAGAGTGGAGAGCCTTCAGATGTCTGCATGTCCACAGACTAATCCAATAAACATCTATTGCTCCACTTGGCCTCAGACAGGCTGACTGGCGCCAAATTTAGTGTCATTCTATATCAATGTGAGCATGAAAACGCATTAAAATCCATCAGGGCCAAAATAAAAAAGAGAAAAAATAGAAAAACAAGTCAAATTGAACAGAAATACAAAAAATATGCGCCCATGCCAGTGTGGTGTACCCAAAAGGGAATATAAAGTAGAAATCAGAGCCCCTCTTGTTAAAACAACTGCATATCATTTGGTGCTCATAGTGAAATCTTGTAAGGAGAAGCTGGAGGGAGCACGCTACACTATATTTGTGTTCAATTCTTGGACAGATGAGGAGGGATGGAGCAAGGGAACAAAAGGAAAGAGATACGCGGCCTGTTCTCTTGTGTTAATGTATTAAATCTAAAACACGCCCCTGGCATGGACATAGATATCTGCGTGCATCTATTCAGTACCCTTAAAAAAATCAATAGCCTGATTTTAGAAACACAAAAGCAGGAGCGGCTAGTAAGAAACCTGCTCCAAATAATTTAGTTCAAAAACATGTATTCAGGGGCCAAACTAGTCTTTCTGACACAGCAAGCGCAAGAGCTGGGAGCAGTGTGTTTGTTCTGCTAGCTAGGCATGTATAAATAATGTCAAGGAATTTCTAAGTAAATAAATAGAAATATGTGCCTCCAATATGAATTTCAAAGAGTAAGGAATGGTGTATCTCAGCTTGAGAGGAACAAAAAGGGCCTTGTAAATACAGCTTTTTATCATGTTATCTTAGGAATGTCAAAACACTGTGGAAAGAAAAATGGATTGGAATAAAGGAGTGACCTTTGTAAACCCGACTGCAGACCTTAGACATTCACTCCAGAACAAGAATGGGCTGTGTACGGCTGCTGCTATCAAAAGACTGTTGTGATCAATACATCACCTCTCCACATGCAATCAGCTCATAGAGAGAGCCTCAATACGCTGAGCGGAAAACCAAAATAAAGCAGCCAGCACAATGTTGGATATTATAATACCAATACATTTGGTAATACGCCTTTGAAGCTGAGACATAATAATACAAATGCACCAGGACAAAAACAAAGCTAAGAGGGCATTCATTTAAAATCAAAGAATTTGGAAACACTGGCCTGAACATATAATCTGAAACCAAGTATGCTAATTGTTTTGCCTGGGATCCAGAATACTAACTTCGTCAATAGTTTTTGAACACGTGAGTCTGGTCACCGGCGAATCTCCCTGTTTTCAAATGGGCATGATTGACAGGTGGACTAGCCAATCAGGTCCGTAACGGAAAAATAAATTTATATAATAATAATATATGTATATATATATATATATATATATATATATATATATATATATATATATATATATATATATATATATACAGAGAGCTGACAAAAACAAAAGAGATTTCTGCAGAATTAATGATCTAAGCACTAATCTCTAAGGTGAGATCAATTAAATTTCATTTGTAAATGATAGTGACCATTGGGCTCCTTCATTTCACACACACCACTGAAAAAAAAACAAATCTGATCTCAGTAGAAAAATACAGAGAAATAACTAATTGGTTGGAATATAAAAAAAAATGTGATCTAAATTATAAACATGCTAATATATTGGCAATTTAGGATTGTCTTAATACTAACAGTGCAAACTCAATTTCAGAAAGAAAATGCCTCCATATAAATACAATTTTAATACCACAATGATAATAATGCATTTTTAGACAATTTAGAGGGATCTGAAACACTATAATAACAGTTGTTTTTTTTAAATTAATCATATTGTATATATATATATATATATATATATATATATATATATATATATATATATATATATATATATATATATATATATATATATTACCATGGGGTGTTGTACAAAATCTCATTTACATCAAATTCCAATTTTGTTTGGTGATATTTTCAGTATTGGTTCTGATAAATATCTATCTAATCTAACTAGATATCAAAATAGGAAATGTTGTAAAAATCTATAGTTTCAAAAAGGGGGTTTAGGGTAAATTATTTATTTATGTTTTTTTTTGCCAACCCTACTCTGCATTTGCTGTTTGACAACACATTTACATTTTCAATTATCTGGAAAATAAGCCTTAGAATTGAATCAAAACTGGGTCAAAATTTACCACAAAAAATCCCATCATATTGCACTGACCCGGTTTTATTTTCGCTGCAATAATAATAAACCTGTGAGACCCAAAATGGATGATCAGGCCTTTCACACTCGCTCCAGTGAGACCGAGGAGCAGGACACAGGACTTTAAAGTAACCTAGCAGCGCAGCACATGTTCCCGCCCCCACCGACATGCTTTGGCTGGCTTTCCCCCGGGATCCCCTCACTAACTCACTAACGCTGCCCCCTCCACCCTTCACTCTGCCTCTGCATCACCACTGCAAGCCAAGCAGAAGCCCATCACCACACAGGGACTGGGCAGAAAGCTTTTTTTTCTTTTTTTGAGTGTACACAGTGAACTCCACATGAACTGCTAGGGATAAAATATTAAAGGTGCAGATGGAGCTGTCCAGATGAGAGGAACTGCTTGCGACGTGTCATGATCCAAAAGGCCTTGTGTAGCAGCGTAGCTCAAGCATACTAATGGTTGGCCCCACCACTCATTACTTCCATGTTCCCCTTTCATGGAGCTAATGCCCTCTGTGCCCTGAGACGAGAAACAAGAGCACATCTAAAGGCATCTCCGAGGCTTTGGTTTAGGCACTTTTAGACAGCAGCAACACAGAGAATACAGGCAATACGAGTGTCGGAAAAACAAAAGAAACAGGATCATCCAGGGTCAAAACATGTCCTCATGTTCTTCAGTACATGGTCAAAAGAAGGGCTTTACATCTGTGCTTCACAAACTGTGCTTTTACAGTTGACTGACTGCAGTTGTGACCTGGATTGAACCGAGTTTTGTTGCAGATTTGAACTGCTACTACTTTTTTGGCTTTTGGTGGCTGAGCAGCCGGCACTCACACTTCACAGCAAGAAGGTTCCAGGTTCAAGTTCTGGGAGTTGGGGTCTTTCTGTGTGGAATTTGCATCTTCTCCCTGGGTGGGTTTTCTCTGGGCATTGCGGTTTCCCTAACCAACACAAAACATGCACTGGAGGTCAAATCCTCCAACTAAGGTAGTCTTGACCTGACTACGCTGCAGAGCTCACTGCTCCTGAAGAAATGCCCAGAGGCACTGAAGGATGGGTCAAACGCAGAGGACAAATTTTCCTATGCGGATAATAAAGTGTACCTTAACATAATCATATTCTTATTTTAATGCAATTCTAGACAACCATACCAAATTATTTCTAGCTCTCCACATTATGCATCAGGTGCTTTGTCTGACCTAGAGATGACACAATATCAAGACAATACAGAGAAGTGGATGGAGATAGGGGATAGGTGAAAATGAACATTTTCAGTCTAGAAAGACATTAAGATTACTCATACCAAAATACGGCTATGTAAAAGCTAATTATGAGGATGAACCATTTGTGACATGGTTAAAAGCTCATAAAAGATGATTTTGCATAATATGTCTCATTTACCAATAGTATAAAAGTTTAAGAGCCAAATGAAGTGGTACTCCTGTGTGAAAAGTTTGAGAACCAGTGATCCAGACAGCCTCCAGCTGACCACACTTCTTCTATCGCTTCTGTTTTCCTTCCTTTCTCCTCTGCCTCTCTCATTGACAAGGACAAAGCCAATTTGTAGCAGAACCCCGGGGTCAGGGATGTTGTAGACAAACCTCGCTCTTGCCTGCTCCCCTGAGACGCCCCTTTCCACAGCACTTTGTCTTTTTGAGTCAATTGTTGCACCGAATCCGACAAAAGCAGCGTGGTGTGGGAGAGCTCAAGCCAGAACGGCCAAAAAAGCTAATTTCTGTGACACGTTAGCTGCGATGCAATACATTAGCCGCTCACGGGGTCATGCTTCTATCTCTCTGGTCATCACCGCTGGGATTCTGATCATCATTTCCACTGCAGACACATTTTTCATGCAAATCTTTACAAAAGCACCCACATACAATAGAAAACAATGAGGCCCTAATTTAGATGAAGGTTCCTGTGTGGCTGACAGAGCATTTGCTGAGACAAGGAGAAATAACACAATGGAAAATGCTTTATTTTTTTGTATTTGGTTTTTGGTAACAACTATATCCAACATCTGTCTTTTTTTTTTTTTTTTGGAATGATTTTATGAAAAAAAATTGCACAACATAACTTTTTGGATGCCTGTTTCTATGGAGTTGTCATTGGTCTGTCTGGAATGTTCCACAGTATGACATTAAACAGCTCTACCTCTACTTTTATTACATTTTTTATATGATATATGATGATGATTATATTTTATTTTATATTGTATTTAAAGTTTTTATATTCCGAAATACCTAAAAAAAACAGGCATTCTGACTGTGAGCGGAGTTGCATCTCCACAGATCTTACCTGTATCTTGGTCTATCTCCATGAAGACAGACAGGTTTAATACCATACTGTGTAACATTCCAAACAAAGAAATAACATCTCCATGGACCCTCCACCAGAAAAATTACACAATGCACCTTTAAGACAACCACTATCTGTTCATTCTATTATATCATATTGAAACTTACCAAGCATCTTACAGGGAAAAAAACATCATTATATCTTGTTGTCCTCATCCTGAATAGTTTGACATGTGTAGCCTAACTCTTGGCTTTTAAAATTGGGGTTATATAAGCTTGCACATCAAGAGTAGTATCAGAAACAGTAGAAAGAAAGAAAACCGCTCAACTTTCAACGCATCTCTACCCAGCTCCAGCCTTCCTTCTGTCCTCCTCCATTTTTAAAACCAGACAAGAAACAGCCATGTCTCTTTTTGAACAAACTGTGAACTGCAGTCCAGTCAACTCATCTCCCTCGTTTTTTATTTATCCTGCAGACAAAAAGCCGCTCTGTATCCTCACTTCTAAAAGCTCTTCATTGTGCAGTGAGACAGGCTACAGTTTGACATGGGAGCCCCCTGTCTCTGCTATATCCACAGTGTCAGTCTGATGCTAGGCAGAGGTCATCGGTATATACTGTAAGGACCAAAACGCCACATAATGAACACAGTGCTGAACAAACATCTCTATAGAAGACTTCCTCATCCCTCTGTGAGAAGGGCAAACCAATACGTGTCCGTATATCGCTACTATACCTCCTGCTATTCCCTCTCCCGTTTTCCTCGCGTGCGCCTCTAAGACTCCCCGAGGTCTCATTCTTCCAAGCCTCTCTGATGGAGCGGGGGATAATAATGTCATGACCAGTAAATAATTGCATGCCTCAATGGGACATATGTCAATATGATATGCTGTATGTCCTTCACCCAAGCAGGTCTTGGCCAAACACAGAGGTGCCTTTGACACCCCTCTTCTCGCTACAAAGATGGCTTTTACACACAAAAAGAAAATCGCAGATCAAGAGAGAAATTCAGCCTACTAGTATAGGTATATTGGTATATACATTACTAGAGATCAACTAATATGTTTTTTTTTTCATGCCAATACCGATTATTAAGAATCCAAAGAAACCAATCGCTGATAAACTTTGCTGATATATTTGGGCCAACTTGGACCGATTTTGGTCATTTTCTCCAAATGATCTAATTTGAATTTAGTATAAAGTGAAACCCAACCTTGTTTTACCACAAACTGGATAAGAAAGCTGTGTGGTCACATTTTTTGCAATAGGCTCTTGGGACTAAAGTATTCAAATAAAGTTTTATGTATTCATTCTTTATGCATATTTAAGCAGCTGGTTGGCCAAACAAAATATCAGCCTCTGTTGGATATTTAAGGCAGATAGACCATATGCTAAAATGTGCAAATATTTCTAGTATAAACACATATTATGCACATTTAGATTTTTTTCTTGTGAATGAAAGACTCCAGATATACCAGTTTGGAATTAGTATTAACAGTATATGTGTTTGTGATCATTATCATCATCCTTTTACAAATAATAATAATAATAATAATAATAATAATAATAATAATAATAATAATAATAATATAATTATTATTATTATTATTATTATTATTATTATTATTATTATTATATTATTATCATTATTATCATTATTATTATTATTATTATTATTATTTATTATATAAATGCAACTAGGACTGGGAATGACAGGCATTCACAATTCAATACAATACATGAATGATGATACAACATTATCACAATAAGGGGATATGTGATAGATATAATGCTGTTTTTAAGAACCAAAAATTGATATCAAAAGACACTCCGACATATTGCCGATATATATCGATGCAGCAGCCCACAACAATACTGTATCGCTGTACCAAACTCAGTATCATGATATATTGATATTTTTGCACACCCATAAAAGCAACCATGTCCATCAAAGATAGCAGTAAAAATAAAATCGTCTTCTTTCCAAAGTAGAGCCAAACAGATCTTCAGCTTAATTAACCTGTCTGCTACCAGTGAGACCCCATAAGGCTAATCCTATAAATTTCCTGATTTCAATTCTGCCATTCACAGCATCACTTTGACCTGAGCCCCACAGCCCTCCCCCACCTCAGGCCCAACATTCAGAGCAGGATAGAGCAGCTTACCATGATGATAAAGGTGACAGGTCCTATGAAACTCCATATGAAATGATTATCCACACTTAGCCAGCACCTAGGGGACAAGGAAACACATATAAGCCCTGGGACAGTGTGCACAGGAGCTACACCTGTACAGTGTAGATGCTGAACATTACAAGAGAATACCATGGTTGAGAATAACCTCGTATATATAGCTGAGAGACATATTTGCATTACTATATTTTTATTTTCGCTTGTGCATACACATTTATATAATGATGCCTTATTTGACACCAGTCTCTTGTTATTTTTGCTAATTAATTCAAATTTATTATTACCATTTATATTTTTACTCTTTGTTATATATATATTATATTGTGATGTGTGAGCTGTTGTGTCTAAATAATTTCCCTTGTGGATAAATAGTTTGTTTAAGTCAAAAAAGGACCATTAATGTACAAAAATATATATATAGGAAGCATTTCTGACTAAAATCCTAATAATTAAAATGTATCTAACCTAAGGATAAATAAATAGGTACGGATATTTATGACCTATGTTAAAAAAAGATACAAAAATGCATATATGGTAAAAAGGGTGAAATAATGCATATTTTAGTTTTATGAGTATGAATGCATTTGAATCCTTTATTCTCTGTTATAAATAACTAATCTTATAATTTTCAAAAAATACTTAAATTAAATTTTTTTTGTCTGTAAAAAGACCCCGTGCTTGGTGCGTCATGTCCATTAATCAGTGTTTTCTGGGCTTGTCTCTTTAAAAAAAAGCATTTACAAACAAGAGGTCACTGGAGGGTCTTTGTGCAGAAAAGCCTTAATGTAGATGCACCCCTCTGAAACCGCAGTGTTGAGTCTGTCAGCCCCTTTCAAATGACATGAAATATTTAAGAGCTGCCCATCTCAGCCCTGGCAAAAGAGCTCAAATGTTTTGGTGCTCTCTCCAGGGATACACAGGCTAAAATGATGAGAGGATTTCTTCTAACACAAAAACAGACAAACTAGTCTAAAACTGTAGCATGCACTATTTTGAAAAGCTTTATTTACAAAGTACACTCACGCTTTGTTAGTCCCATAGCTCCCATAGTCGATAGCAGCAGACACGCCGACCACTATTGCGGGGAAGAGGTAGCCAGACACGTAATAGTACTTTTTCCGAGAGTATTCGCTTTCAAAGACCTCCACGAGCATGAGGTACAGCTGGACCCCTTCCAGACACATCCAGGTGAAGGAAGCCACGAAGAAGAAGTGGAGAATTCCCGCGATGATGGCACATCCGATCTGAGTCAACAACCAAATCAGGAAATAACAGGGTTAGCCAATGTAGCCGAGCAAAAACATGGGATTTAATATAATTCCAACTTTACAGACAGATATTACAACTTGCAAATTGACATATAAACTGACATTTTGATTAGATTGATAGAAGCTATTCCTCCATTTATAAATTGTATATAGACTTTTTAGGAGTTTTAGACTTCAGATATAGAGTTATTGCATTTGTAAAATATATGGTAAATACACTTCTTTGTTATTTTCTCACATTGTCACAGTTTTCGCCCTTCACGACCCATTTACCTAGTTGCCTTATATGACTTTATTTTGACTCTTTCACTATAAGATCTTAAACTAGATTTCTTCCAAAGTAAAAGGAAAGTTAGTGGCCCTTTAATAAATCCACTTAAATGTCACACCGGCTGCTGCCTCACCTATTCAGCAAAGCACTTTGCCAGTGAAAAATGATAAAATAAATGAATATTCATCCTCCACCATCACAGGTTTAGATTTCCGTCAGGGGGATTATTGGAAAGCTAGTGTTAGAAGATTTAATTACACAGCTCGCCGTTTGAAGCCTTGATTCCCACCTGTATGCAGCGAAATGCTTTCACGTCAAGCGAAAATGTAACGGTGAGATGTGTTCAAAATGCTACGGCTGTGGGCAGAGCCATGGCAACCGTGTGGCTTTAAGTGAGGGAGGAGAAAAGAGCTGTCAAGTGGAAGACATGGTCCCATAGTAATCTATATTAATGGTTTTGGCCTCGTCGTGTCATGTCAGGGAGGCTAGGAAACAAACAGTCTTTCAATGGGATTTGGTAGTTGTAGTTTGTAGACTTAATTGTGTAGTGAGCAAGTTGCAATCATGTATAACTTGATAAATTATACTATTACCGCATGATACTAAATGATACGTATGTTTAAATGGTATGGGAAGTAACTTTTCAAGTGCAGGTTTCTGCTGTGTGCTTCTCTCCAGGGAGAAGTTATCCGTTTTCCTAGAATGTTCCACAGTAGGGCATTAATTTGAACTATACTGCATTTATTCTTTAAATTACAGGTATTGACAATGGTAAAAGATGTTATGAAAAACATGCATCGTGCTGTGTAGAGAAAGATAAGTGTTGTGCCATACTGTGGAAAACTCCATGTAAAGACAGAACATTTTGATCAAGACACGCAGGAAAAGCAACCACATAAGTTCCATAATGCACCTTTAAAAAATTGACATATTTACTTTAGCTTAAATTTAAATTATTTGAAGCAGAGCTATTTGAATTGAGTAAACCAGCCTTTTTATAAAGTGACAGTAATAAAAGGTGAATGAGTCAAACTACTATAATACAAGCCCGTCTTTACCCTGGGTTCGGTCATGTCGATGCCAATGAGGAAAATGAGCTCTGCGATGAACAAGTTGATGCACAGGTTCTTGTGGATGGTGTTGCGATCACTCTGCAGGCCTCTGAAGAAGCAGAAGGTGAAGATACTGATACTGAGACACACCAGAGACACCACGATGCCCACACGCGTGATCACCGTCAGGAGCAGCTCGTGCACCCTGTTGTTCACCTGTCAGAAAAACAGACACAGGGTTTCTGAATTAGATTAGACATGACAAATGCTAGGGGGTTAATTCACAATAATAGGATAAATATATTAAAATTTCTGAGTACTGTTTGTAATAGAATTATAATTTATTATCGCTTTTTTTTTTTTATCTAGTTTTATTATCATTTGTTTTAGCTTTTTTCTTTTATCTGTTTATCTTTAAGTAATTAAAACAACATTTGGACAGTTGCGTTCAAGCATTAGCCAACCTTTTCCACAATACACTTGAGACTGGGACATTTTTAATTAAAGGTAAACAAACTGAATAATACAGGTGAAAAAGCTTACTTATAATGGTAAAGTCATAACGAACACTGAGTAAATATAGTTATAAAGTCCAACCATAATTGCAATTGGCAGCACTTCAGTAAAATATAAACTGAGCATACAAGAAACAGCCACAACAGTCTAATTAAAGGTGTACTGTGTAACTTTTCTGGTAGAGGGCCTGCCAGTTACTTGTCTCCTTGGAGATGTTATTGCTTTTGCGTTGACTCCAGTATTTCAAAGTATGGCATTAAACTTTTCAGTCTCCATAGAAACAAGCAGGAGATGCCACCAGGTCAATTTACAGGTGAGATCTGTGTAGAGGCGACCCCACTCACAATAACAATGTTTATAAATGGGTTTTTAAGCAATAAAAACACCCATAATTAAATAAATGCATCCTATATTAGTTTAAAAGCACATTGTGGAAGATTACAGGCAAAGCAATAGCACCTCCATGGTAGCGGGCCCCCAACCTGAAAAGTTACACATTGCACCTTTAAGCCAAAAATATAATACGATAAAAATTCATATACAATGTAAACGAAAGATGATTCTGGACTCACAGCCAGTTGACGGTGTGCCATCAGTATTGCAAAGTTGGTGAGGTGGCTACAGGAGCAGGTGGTGTGGGTTTTGTTGGAGTCCACCAGTTTACAGCCCTGAGTCGACCAGTATCCCATCATGCTCCGCTCCGAGTAATTCCAGAACGAGCAATTGGAGTTGAAGTAGTGCTCCATCTGCAGATAACACCAGATATGCTTAAGTGTCCAAATAATTGACTGCCTCCAATTGAAGTACATGTATAATACAGAGACCATTTACCCCCTACTCGTGCAAAGTATTCACTCATTGTCGATAAGAATAGAGATTTTTCACTCCACGGCTCTTATGAGGCAGTTCTTACCGTACATTGGATCTCATTTGGCACACGTTTTGCCAAATCAACCACGACATCACTGCCTATATAAGAGCTTTAATAATAGAATTGTTTGATTGTCTGTCTCTGCAATTGTAGTAATTCGGTGATAAAATATGAAGTCCTGCGTGCCCCTCTGGGAACTATGGTGACAAATTTAAAAAGATAATTGGGCACTAAAGTAATTTCATCCAAGATTGTACGGCTAATCTAGGCTCTAATTCAAGCCATTATAAAAGAAAATCATTTATATCCCAATTTTGATTAACGAATTATGTTTTATTAAGAATTCACTTAAAGACTTTTAATTTGATGTTCGGTGGCTTAAATAATCTAGTGCCTGACCTCCGCCAGACATTACCAATTCAAATGGCGGATCTGTGCATACTGTGGATCATGCCTCCTGGAGTTTTTAATATGAGAAGTCTGCTCTATGCACTCACGTCAATGTGCTCCAGGGTGAAGACCACAGGCTCGTTAATGAACACGCGGCTGGACTCCTTGTTGATTGAAGCAGCGATGATGTCTGAGTTGACAGCCACAGAGACGTTGCGCCCGTAAACCTCATTGGCCATTTTGATCGTGGCGTTTTCAGTGCTCAGGAACTGGCCCAGGTTTTTGTACAGCACGAAGACAAGTTTGGCGACTCCTACACAAAAAGAAGAAGGAGGAAATGTGAAGACTGTGATTCAATGCAGCCAAAAGTACTTAATGGAGTTTTTTTATTTTTTTATTTTAGGGTATGAAGCAAAGCAAAGAGAGGAAACTATAAAAGCATGAAATCTCTGTCTGTGTTTGAGAATAGCAGAGATTGGAAATGGATGAATCATAAATATGTTATAAATAGTACATCTGTGAATCACTGTAGAGAAACTATTGGGCTGTGGGCGGTGATTTGAATTTTAATGAAGAATACAGATTTGTAGCATAATTTGAAACATTTTGTAAAACACACCAGGTTCAGTTTGTAGAACTGTGGAGTTTGATGTAATTGTTGTAATATTTCAGTTTATCAAGAACAGTTCTTCATCACACACTATTTTAAAGGTGCAATGAGTAAAGTTTTTGGTGGGGGGTCCGTCAAATGCTTTTCTTCATGGAAATGTTATTGCTTTGTCTGGAATGTTTCATAGTATGGTGTTAAACCTTTATATCTTTATGGAAAGCAACCCAGACCAAGTTACAGGTCAGTTCTGTGGAGAGGCAACCCTACTTACAGTCAGAATGGTATTTTTGAGCTATAAAATGATATGTAATTTAATAAATGCAAGGGAGAGCTGTCATACTGTGGAACATTCCAAGCAGAGCAATGACATAGCCAAAGAAATGAGTAGGTGATGGACCCCCAACCAAAAAGCAACAAGTGCACCTTTAAAGTAGTATTTTAGAAGAAACTGTAGAAATTACACACAAAATTAAACTGCTCATATAATATCCATACCATGTCGTTCCATTTTTACAGAAACAATAAGAAAGAATTGTAAAGTATAGGTGCGTACCATTACGGCTGTTGAGTTTTACTGTATTGGCTGACAGCTGGATGGAGATCCCCCCTTTGCTCGACTGTGGAAACTTAAAATCCTGGACTTGGCCGTCGGTGCTGAGTACATACACGTCCAAGACTGAAAGTGGAAAAGGTTAAGATCAGAGTCAACATTTTACTTGCAAAGACATAAAATTGAAATAAGACTATATTGATACAAAAGCTTTTTGTTCAGTCTTTATAGTGCTGGGGCGGGGGGCGCACTGATGGCTTCACTAAATCACACAATGAGCTCAATGATAAAAGCACCATTCACAAACCCAGGGCTGATTTCATCCCATTAAGACCCAAATAGACGTGAGTAATATATGATCAAAATCTTAAATGGCGGCGAATTTTCTCTTTCATATGCAAACATCAAAAGAAAAACTGCCAAGGAGGATGCGTAAGATAAACAATGCAGTTTTCTGACTCTACAGCAGGCTAATGTTCACATTAATGTATAGAGTTACAAGGTCTAGACACACACATTTGTAACTAAGCGAGCGCAATCACAGAATCCAGGCCCTTTAATTGTCCGATATACATCACTTTGTCAGTAAGCGACTCGTTAAACCTAATATGCGTTGTTTGGCTGTTCCCCAGAGGTTTAAATGCTTATTATGAAAAACAAAGTCCCTTCTTTTTAATGTAGTCTTGTTTTCCCGTCACAAGAAACAAAATGCCCCGTGTACAGTACTGTGCAAATAGCCTGGTTGTTAGGAAAGGCCATATGAAGAAATTGACTACGTATGTCTATAGAGGAAGTGCAGAAAATGGCAATAAAAGAACAATCAGATAGAAGGAAGTCTATGGGAGCATTTTGTCTTCACGATGGTAAAAATAGTGCACAGACTCTGACTTTGCAGTTCTGCTAGTTCAGTGGATTTTTTTTATTTGGACAAGAACTGGTAAAAAGCTTCCTAAAATAGTTGTTCTTTGAGTGTTTTTTAATATTCTGATGCCACCTGTATTTATACTATCTGTCTTTTGCAATATTACTAGCTCAAATATCCAAAAGCAATAACTTTGTTCGTACACCACTTCCAACTGACAACGTAAAATCCCTTTATGTAATAAATCTACATGCATAAATCTACAGCCTACAGCTACAGAAACACTGCACATTCCTATATTCACAATAATATAACATATGTAACTTTTGTCTGTATCTATCAATTAATCTTTGGTCATGGGAGAAGTATCCAATTTTGTACAGATACTAGAGTGATAGTAAAAGTAAAAGTCACATGAAAAAAATCTACTTAAGTAAAAGTACTCGCTTAAAAAAGTGGTAAAAGTAAAAGTAAAAAATATGTTGCAGATTTTGAGGTCTAATAAAGCTCCACATGCAGTGATATGTGTTGAATTTTGTTCAATTGTTTTTTTGTTTTTTTCTTTCCAGCTATTTTTATTTGTATATTTGTGTTTGCTCAAATTACAAATGTGTTAAAAATAGACCCTTCATCCTTTTTAGCAGGTCTCAAACTATAGTAAAAAATACTTTTACTTTTCAGTCCTGTTGAAAATTAAGTACACATACCAAAACTTAAGTACAATACCTTCCTACTTTTACTTTGTTTCATTCCACCACTGACTACAACATATCACAAAGTTCACTCACTGATGTTGTCTGCTGGTACTTTGACTATAGCAGGCTCCATGAGGTTGTCTGCGAGCACAAAAGCCCCCTCCTCCAGAGTGTCCAGGAGCATGGTGGCTGCGTGGGTCTGCTCCGTGCTGTTCATGTCATGCCAGGACTTCAGAGCTTCTGGCCGGAGCAGGTTGTCCACTGTGTCCACTATGGCCTATGAGTGACAAAATGCAGAGACAAAATAATGAAGAGATATATTCTATGTGATTTTAAACTGACTGTGGCACTTTGAGATCTGTTCTTCAAATGTAAAGTGCAATATAAATAAAATCTATTATCATTATTATTATTAGTAAATACACTATCACATGGATGGGGAGGAAAAGTGGCATGCGCACAAATGAATGAATGAACACATGGGTGAACAAAATAGGCACATCCATGAATATTGTGGAACAGTGAGATTAAAGGTATACTGTAACTTTTTTTGGTTGAGGGTCTGGATATCTGCTTGTTACCATGGAGATGTTATAGCTTGGCCTGGAATGTTCCACAGTATGGCACAAACGTATCTTATTTTGCATTTATTTCATCACATGACTGCATTACTTTACAGTGAGATGGGTCACCTCACCACAGATCTGACCTGTAATTTGACCTTGTGGCTTCACCTGCTTGTTTCCATGGAGATACATATGTCATACTGCCATAATGGCATACTGTGGAACATTCTGGACAAAGCGATACAATCTGTGTAGTAGGTAACAGACCGTCCAGTGCTTCTTAAAACAGTTGATTTAGTTTTGAAAAGTTTCCACATTATTATTTACTGCTCGTACTTGAGAAAGTCATCAAAGCTAACGTAATTTTCTGTATCATTGACAAAGGCGTAATGTAAAGGAGAAATGGGGTAGCAGCGTCACGGGAGATGCAGCAGATTCAGTTTCAAGGACGTTTCATCAGTGGCCACACAGCGGGGTCACAGCACCGAGCCAATCACAGCCCTGACAAGTCTTCTAAAACTCACCAACTACAGCAACTAAGAATGTCTTTAACCTCTAATTATTTGGAAGGAAGAGTTCAATAGCTTAATTAAACTATATCTATCACACGAGATGGACTGAATTTATTTGTAACCCCAAGTCACCCTAACCTGGCGCAGACAGAATAAATTGTCCGTAGCCAGACAGTGCAGTTTTTTGTACCTTGTGGGAAAAAAAGAAATCAAATCAATGAGTCTAATTAGGTAATCAATGCCGGTGACAGCTGGCGGTGAGGGAGGGCGGGGTGGTTCAGATGTGATGGCGCATCAAGTTTGGCAGGTGTCAAATAATGCTGAGTCAGGCAAACTTCATTCAAAATTCGGCAATCACGTTAAAGGTGCATTGTGTAACTTTCCAGGTGGAGAGCCTGTTACATGCTTGTGTCCATGGAGATGTTATTGTTTTGCCTGCAGTGTGCCCAAGTGTGGCATTAAATTTATTCATCTCCACAGAAACAAGCAGGAGATGCCACCAGGCCATTTACAGTTCAGATCTGTGAAATGGTGATCCTACTCACAGTAAGAACACATGTTTTTTTTAAAGGCATTTTTGAGCAATAAATACACTTATAATTGAATAAATGCATCTGACATATGTTTAATACTATACTGTGGAACATTACAGGCAAAGCAATAGCATTTCCATGGTGGCAGACCCCCAACCTGAAAAGTTACACACTGCACCTTTAAGCCTAGCCTCTCCAATCAGCTAAACTAAATGAGCGCGTGTATGTAGAATAGATGAATGTAATATTTTGGTGCTATCCGAAACGAGTACCTATTCTACTGGCTCTTTTACGGCCGCTGAGTGGCTAATTAGCGCAATCCATTTTAATGCCCTCCCAAAGGAGATGTATCTGGATTGAGGGGGATGACTTTGGTGGCAGGTGGAGGACACTGATCTCCCTAATGGTTGAAGGGAGGGATATTTATGGGTTTTGATTTGTGAATTTTGCAACAATAAAAATCCGCAGAAATCAGTTGACCTCCTTTTAGCTGCGTACATCTTAAGGCTTACATCCGAAAACCGAGCGACCTGCGTGACCTATAAAAGCTTACATGTGTCCTTGTGAAACGTGAGAATCTTTTACAACACAGTAAAGGGACTAAGGATAGAGCTCGAGTGAAACAGCTCAGATAAATCACTATTGTATTTGAAAGCAGTTTTATGGCAAAGGAAGTACCTGTTAGACAATACAAACGATTGATGAACTTAACCTAGTAGTGGATCATGGATGAGAATGAACAGAGCTTAAAGGTGCACTGTGTAACTTTTCTGGTAGAGGTGCTGCCACCGGCTTGTCTCCATTTCCTAAAGTGTTCTTCAGTATGGCATTTCATTTAACTATCTCCATGGAGACAAGCAGGCCACATCACCAGGCCAAGTCACAGCTCAGATCTGTGGAGAAGTGGACCCGCTGACAGAAATACTGCATAATTTTGCAGTAGTTTTTAGAAATAACAACACCTGTAATTGAATAATGTTATCTGTGTATATGTATATGTAACTGTTCTTCTGTTTTTGTTGACTTGTATGTGAAGCACTTTGGTCAGCTGAAGTTGTTTTAAATGAGCTATATAAATAAACTTGAAATGAATTGAATTGAAAAAATAAATACCAGCTATACTTTAATACTTTAATGTCATACTGTGGAACAAGCAAGGCAATAACATCACCATGGAAACAAGCAGATGGCGGATCCTCCACCATAAAAGTTACACAGTGCATCTTTAAAGCTACACATGCAAATCTACTGGCAAACAAATCATACCACAAATAAAAAGTTATATTTCAGTTGTTCAAGTCAAACTTAGATCAAAATATAAATACAGAAAAAAATGCATATCATGATGATGGTTTTACGGGTAATATATTCCTGAACAATAAAAATAAATGAATGCTTGAAATGCCATACTGCATGTAGCCTGTGTGTGTATATGGTTCTCTCATTTTGAACTGAACAACTGAAATCTACTTCCACAATATCAACATGTATTGCACAGCGCTGGTAAAATAAACATTAGGAGAAAAAATACACAATGTCATGAACCTGAAAATGAGGAGGGAAAAATACACAGAAACAGTCAGCGCAGAACAAAAGGCAGCTTTGTATTTGGATATGACTTCTTTTTGACTTCGAAATCACTTTGGCAAACTACAGTACAATAACTATGTGTGAAGCAATTACTCAAAAAAGCAGAGGATAGAGATAGAGAGGGGGGTACATGACAGTGCACAGGGCCCATGCACGGACAGAGAGAGAGGGGAGGGGTGGGGGGGCAGGCTGCAGCTGTAGCTTCAGTACCTTCATGTACGCCCTGCATGTCCTTTCACGCTTTTGAAGCTTTTTTATTAGAAAGAAAGAACACAAACAGGCACACACTGTAATTCTGGAGACACTTTAAAGAGGCCTCATGATTTATTTACCCAAAGGACATAATTGTATCTGAGCACCTCGTGACACACACACACAGCTCTAGTGTACAGGGTAACAGTGCAAAAAGCAGGACTCACTATTAGGAAGAAGGCTGTATCAGATGTGGAATATTCAAATGACGATTACACAAATGACTGAAATTAGTCAAAATAATGTTCACTATCACCAGAATGTTAGAGGTTCAAACAAGCTCTGGGGACTGAAGTGTAATGATTGTTTTGTATGTACTTGAAAATAGTCTCTTAAGGTTAAGTTTTATCGACTAATAGATTGATGCTTTTGTTTACACATTTTCTATGTATAGTCTATTTCCAAAGTCATGGTCTTATTAGTGTTACAAGAAGAACAAGTCATTTCTTGTTAATTGGTTTTCTCAGACTTAAAACTTTACTTACAGATACACATGTTGCTGTAGTGCACACTGTTCTTTGTTAATGTTTCATAGGCTTTTATGATTAATAAATAAGTAGATACAGCATACTTGATCCCACTGATTTTTGGTTTGTTTCTAGTTCTCTTTGTATGTAATTGCTAATTTGTACATAATTAATTTACTTTTTTCATGTTTTACACTCAAAATAAAGTAACAAAATGAAAACTACAGGACCACTTCAATTGCACTCATTAGAACTACACTCTCCTCCGTATAAGTTAAGTACTAAGTTAAGATGAGTATAAGAGTGTAAGGACACTTGTGTTACCTTGTTGAAGCTCCGTCCTGCTGAATCCTTCTCGCTTGGCCGGAGTTCTTGCAGCTGTGCGTCCAGGATGTCCACCAGCTGCTCCATCAGACGCACGGAGGAGCTGACGTCGCCCGCGTAGATGGGCCCTTTGGTGTGCTTGGCGAGCTCATTCGCCAAGTTCGCCGCATTCTCCCCGGTCCGAATCTGTGGGGGTTTAAACAGTGAATAATGTTCTGCAGAATGCAAGGAGACAGACTTTGAGAGGAACTTTTATCTCGCTGTTGCTTTCGAACTTTAAATCGCACTTGAATGAGTCCTTGAAATAGAAAAGGTAAAAGAAATAGTGGTTGCTACGGTGCGTGGAAGGATAAAAAACCTGGTGTGACTGTTGAAAATGAACAAAGGGCTAATTTTTGTAGAAATAAATGGTACTAGGTAATACCTAAATGATATTCGGGTGTTGAGAAATCTGAAATATAAAAATAAAATGTAATAATTATAAAAGCAACATAGCACATCTCCATAGATTGAAATTGAAACTTTTTCTGTAGTTTACTCACATAAAAAGTTAAAGAAAAATATATTACAAGTTTTCATTTTCATTTTTGGGAAATTCAAAACAGAAACATGAAAAGAGGGGACCTTATTTAGCATCTAAGAAAACTAGATCTGACTGAAAATTTGCCAAAAATTAGAATTTTCTGGAGTTAAAACTTTCCTAAATCAGGCTTGGTATTAGATATCAAAAAATCCTTCTGAACATTTTGTCAGAATTTTGTACAAGACTGGAAATTTTGGTGTATGTAGATGCATTTTCAGAAAGCGACCTTTGAAGTTACATTGTCCCATATAAAGATGGAGGCAAATTGATTAAATTAAATATTCTTCATCATATCTCAGTGCAGAATTCTGTTGTTTTCACATGAAAGCTTGTATGAGACCAAAAATTGACCAAAAAAACAAAAAAAGTGGATTTTTTTTTTTTTTTTGCCTGTAATGTGTTCACCTTAAGGAGTGTTCTGTCCATATTTGTGAGTCCCTCTGAAACTTGGATCTCTAACAACAAATCAGCTACATACAGTTCATGTTATTGAAGAAGATGCTCATGTACAATGGATTACAGTTTAATTTTTACATAACTAGTCGCTAGGATGGTGTGATCATAATGTTATGTCTATAAAATATGCTTTATAGTCCCATTCTTATTGATGTTAGCTAATTCTGTCCCTTCTGTTGTGCTGAAAGGTATTTTGCAAGAGGAAGTTTTAATAACTGCCTAATTCATCAAACTTATTGCAGAAAGCCACATGAGGACACCCACTTTTAATTCACCTGCATTTGCATTTGATTTATTTAACTGAAATGTTTACATCAATCATATTTAAATACAGAGAGTCAGTTGAAAGCACACAGCGAGACGAAGCATGCATACAAACCTTCTGGGCGATTTGGTTGACCCAGTGGGAGGTGCAGTTGCTGAGATCAGGGCCCTTCGGGTGCCAGGCCCCAGTGGAGAGGACACATAAATAAGACGCTGTGCCTGACGGGGAAAAACAAGAGCAGAATAGTCATGTATCATCGAGCAAGATCCAATTTAGACTTTTCCTGATGATATGTTTTATAGAGCAACTGAACGCGGATGAAAAACAGCAAAGAGCACACAAATAAACAAGGCGCCTTCACTTCATTGATGCAAAAATAATTTCAGTGCAGTCAGAGGGTAAATTAAAGCGTGATGGGTTAATTCTCAGATCCATCTTCCTTCAGAATGGTACCGATCTCTCCTGCCCTTATTGCTACGAATGCCCGCCGCTTTGTTTTCTTTGTCCTAATTAGCCTTATGTCTGATGTACGCTAACAGGATTTCACACACAATCAGATGAGGGATGCTCTTCTCCAGGCAGGCTCCAGGGACACACAGCTGAGCCCGCCGTCACACACTGCTAAATCATGTTTCTATGTGAAATGACACAGCAAAAGCCCAAAGCCTTTCTACACTCTTGTTAGTCAGCATTTACTCATGAGCCATAAACAGAGCAGTGAGAAAGAGGTAAAAGCTCTTTCCATTACCCGGCACTTCTACTTTTAATCTCTCTCAGTGACAGAGTATTAGTTAAAATAATATGAGCTTCTCCAATGGTTAGTTTAACGTGAGTTTACATCATGGTGCTTTGATACAAATGACAATATCAAGTAGCAAGTAGTCACAATACTGTCTTTTCAAACTTGATTTTGATACCAAGAAAAAGGTCTGATGCTCAATATTGATTTTGATACTGCATTAATCTGATATTGTTTTGACATGAATTACTTTCCTATGCATTTCATATTGCAAAGTGATTATATACTAGTTCTGATATAGCTCCAGATCCAGGTCAAATTTTGTCTTTAGTTTTGATTTTTTTGTTCAAATTTAGTTCCATCAGCGTCTGACTATCAATGCTTTTGACAACTCCACTATCAAGGAGCATAGTGTGAAACAAAAATAATGGAAGTAATTGATATAATGTACTAAGGAATTTTCTTGCCCTTAGCATTAGCACTCAAATGACCTTTTCCTAAAAAAATAAATAATGTTATACAAGCACTGACTAAAAGGCTTGCACAGCATTGTCTACAGATAAAGATTGTTATGCACGACGCTCACTCTCCCTGGACTCATAAGGTCACACTAAAGCAGCACAGGCACCACAGAGGAGCCCTGTTTACCTCTGGTTCCCTTGGGGCAGGGCCGCTCCACCAGCATGCCCCTCTGGGTCTGGGGCCACATGATGTCTCTCTTCTCCGTGGCCTCACAGAAGCGCACAGGGAGGGGTAAGGACTGGGTGGTTGGAGGGGAGGTGGTTTGAGGGGGTTGCTTGGCGGCTCCTCGGTTGCCCCCCTTTATGACAGTGGTGACCGTGGTGTTGCCGGACACTCTGTGCACAGTGCTTGTTGTGGTGGTGGTGGTGGTCCTCATGGGCACAGGAGACGTGACTGTTTCAGACAATGTGGGAGCTGCTGAGGCAGGAAAGAAAGAAAGGAGATTTTAGGACATTTTCTATGAGCAGTTTTAGAATGTTTAACTACAGGAATATAAAAGTTGCACATCATGATTCATATGGATAAATGCATGCACTCCCAAACAAACTCAAGTATATATACCATTAGATACTGCGTTATGATTAAGACATCCTAATGGCATTAGTTAGTTAGTTTTTGATTTTGTTTCTTTGTTGTTTTTTGTCTCAATAAAAACACACGAGTCAGCTGTCATCAGTTGTTTACAGAAGAAATTCTACGCAAACAATTATAGTCTTTGCGACTTGATAATTGCACTTACTCAAATTGCAATTTAGATGAGATTGTGATATTATGTCCAGCCCTATTTTTGGTACTTTCCAGGAAAATTTAATAATAAATAAATGCTCATCTTCAAGATTAAATGGGCAAAAGAAAATATAAGAATAAGATATGAAGCTACTAATCAAACTAAAGGCATTTTGAACTAAATATTTGGACAGAACTGGTGGTGAATTGGTGACACCCTGAGCAAATGAATGTGAGATTAAATAGTTTTCTACCAAACGTCCTTAGTAGCTTTGACATATTTTTTGTATAGGTGCATCTTCTACCCAAATAAGCAGAAGATGAATGAATAAACAGTCAAAACAAAACGTACAACAGTTTAAAGTGTAGTGGCGAAAATTGAATCCGAATGTAGCTCTTGTCCCGTTGCTTGAGTGTAAGGTCAACTCATTAGTTTGACACCCGTTGTGCAGGAGCGAATAAGTATTCAGCTCAGCACATTTTAACGCATTTTCAATCTTGACCTAGTGGTAGACATATGTCCACTCCAAACTTTAACACTCCCTCATGTACCCATCATTTCCAATTTATTTCCCTGGCCTTGCTTATACATACAAGTCTCCCGTTGAGTAAATTGCTGCTAAGTGCCTAGTGCCACAAACATATTTGCTTTTGAGCGACTATGCCTCATTCAAGCCTCTCTGTCTGCACCAAACAAGACAATAATTACAGTAACGTCGACCTGTCTGGCAATCATTTCTGCACTGGAGATTTTGTGCCGTGGCTGATTGCATTTCACAAGTGCAACCCCAAACTTGTATCGTGTACTGCCTGGACAACCATTTCACAGGAGCTGCAGTTGCTTTCGTACCACCACAACTCACAGACTGATAAACCAGGTGCACAGTAACTCATGCAGCGCTCCAGGCTACAGCATTATGTCTGGGAGAAAACAGTGGGCCCTGTACATTTAACAAAAGTCACTAAGGAAAATCTATAACAATATTTTTCAGGAGGTGTGCAGTGGAGGAGTGCAAGGCAAACGGTAATTACAGTTTACAAAAGGTGACATTGCAATGCTTTGAAAATATATTTGAGATCAATTTAAATGCATAGTATACCTGTTAAAAGTATTGTATTTTTAAATGTTCCGAATAGTCCAAGATGCACTTTATAGACTTGCTGAATGTGATAATGTTTAATTTTCGGAAAATTTTTTAACATACTGTATATTGTAAGTGTGATTACTTACAAGATATTGAAGTAAATCATGTAATTCAATATATACATATAATGATCTAATTGCTCTTCACACTTGTTTAATGGATGAATAATAATAATTGAGTTCTAATATACCTATGTGTGTGTGTGTAAGTATATATATATATATATATATATATATATATATATATATATATATATATATATATATATATATATATATATGCAATGCGGACACAAGACAAGAGTAATTGACCACTTTGAGGTTATGGAAGTCAAATTCCCCTTAATTTTCATGATAAATTTAAAAATAAAAAAATATAGATATTTTTTTCACAAAAAAAACAAAACAAAAAAACTACTGATTAAATTTAAAGTTTGCTATCTGCTATAGTAAAGAGTACCTAGCAGAAGACCTCGCAAGTTATTTAAAATTTTAAACTTTATAAAAATGTTAATAGCTAATAAAACATTAAGCCAATTTCAAATTTTAAATGTGTTTTTTGGACTAAAAAACAACTGTACTTTGGACATTGGTTATCCCATTGCAGGTTAGCCTCTGTCGAGCCCTTTAATTTAAAGCTTAATATTTGAAATTTTAAAAGTCTTTGGGGAAAACAAGAAATTGACTTCCTCAACGAGACTGCTCAGCTCCGAGTAAAATGATAGCACCCTGATATTCTAAAAATATGTGTACATAGATTTGAAATGCAGCGGCACATCAATCACAGAGGCTCTGATTTGAATGCGCTGTGCGTAGTGGATCTAATCGTATTTGAGTGCTTTGATTTCCTCCATTAGGCTGCCCGTGGAGCATGCAGCCAATGTGAAGAGGGGCTGCTACACTGCCTCAGCTAAGCAGGGCCCCTGTACCAGCACACAAAGCACCGCCACCACCAGCACGAGAGGTGGGAGGATGAGACGGCCAGTGACAGGGAAATTATAAAACAATGAATTCATCCAAGAGATGGCAGTTTCTATTCTGTTTGCATTTTGCTGTAGTCTCCAATGCAATAGCTTTATTACACCTTTCTGTGCAAATCAAACAAATGTAAAATGACAAGGGACATCACTGTTTAGGTTCTAACCAGGCAACAGATGCAGCCACGTCTCGAAGCAGACAGTGAGATTTTGATTTTATGAGTTGCTTGTGCCGTAAGGGAATAAGAGCATAAATCTGCACCATACAAGTGCAGTTGAAAGCAAAGAAGGTGAAGCCAGGATATGCGTAATTCCCCAAACAGCCCAACAATAGTTTTTGAATCAACAAAGCAATGCTGTTTTTGTCGGGGTGTATACTACATATATACAAATATAAGGGCAGCATGCTAAAGACTGTGTTTATGGATGATGCAGCAAGACTAACATAATTAAAGGTCCTGAGAGGAAACAGTCATTTAGTTTGTATTATCCTATATGCTCTAACATGTGCGTGTGTATAAAAACCCAAAAGCAAAGCGTGATGACAAAATACAGCAGTTGTCCATAAATCAAGGTTTAAAAAGACGCTGTGGGACATAAAACAAAACACATGGTAAGTATGGATTTAGTCATGCAGAAAAATCTTCTGTGATAAAGCTCAAATGACAAATATTGGATAGTCCATACATTATTTATTTTTTTTCTCTGCAGAGTAATAAATGTGTATGTTAATGCATAAGCTAAATCAAGAGAGCATAGTGAGACATGGTGAAATACTAGATACACGGTTCGGTATATTCTAATACAAAAAAAAATCTAAACAGTGTAAACAATTTGTATTAGTTAGGAATGCACTAATCCAGCTTTTTCAGCTCTGATACAATATTATAGTAAGTATCAGTATAAGTATAAGTACCTGCCAATACCTGATACTAACCTATAATAATAATAATAATCTAGAACCAATATTCGATCCAGTAAAATTTCTTGGATCAGCGTCATTATTGTTATCGGTGTGTCCCCAATCAGAATATATAAGAATTTGTTTTTATATTCTCATTAAATTCTATTAGCATGATTATAGAACTGCACCAGCCAACCAACCACCACCCCTGAAGGCCCCCAACCAATCAGAGACTACTATTGTCACTGTCACCACCTAGTGCGGAGCGTGGAAAGATGAAGGGAAATCTCCTTTGAACTTGACTACTCCCTGCGGTGAATTAGGTCCCACTGACCAGAGCCACGACTCCGAGCCCTGCGTGTATGACAGCGAACCTACACTGGCTTCCAGCAGAGAAGAAGAGGGAACACGCAGCTGACTGGCCTCACCCCCCCTCCCTCTCCTGTCACCTCTGTCACCCCCTACCTGTATCCTTTTACTCAACGCGCTGAATTTTTCGGTCTGTCACTGCGGTGAAGACAACCTGTGCTTAGTGTCCGTCAACCGCTGGCATTTACACCTGTCTCTATTCTGCACCAATAACCTTTTATAGCCAAAACGCTGTTCAAACAAGACTCGAAAAGGTGAAAGTGAAACCAAATGATTCGCAGTGTACTCCAATCTGGCATAACATTATGACTATATGGACAGGTGTAGAGAACTTGACACCACTGAGACACCTGTTAATGCATTACAGTAACAATGTGCCACCTGCTTTTTCATGGAGATTTCCAGGAGATGTTCCACAGTATGATATTAAACTTATGTAGCTCAATTATGTGTTTAATTGCCAAAAAATTCATCAAAAAATTCAAAAAGATTCATCAGTTGGTTTCACTTCGTGAACCTCGCAGCGTTAGAAATCGTTGGCTCGACAGTAGGCGGGTACTTTTTTTTATTTAACCAGTCGCGGCTATTTGGTCTGTAATGCGCCACTAACGGGGCTAACTGGTATATTAAGTTTTTACCAAATTCCGTAGGAAGAAGGGCAATAATATCTTTCCCCTTGATAAAATTCACCAAACATTCTCTTTGTTCTGGCTTTAAATCCTCGATCCAACACAGAATGTATGGCTTTTCGCTGATTGGCTGGTGCCCGAAGTCGCACTTTCAGGGTTTTTGCAAACCGTCTAGTGTATTCCAATTCCTGACCTAGTCCCTGAAGAGAAATGAAATTGAGTGGAGGCACTAGGTGGCGCGAGCCTGGCTAATGTGCACCTGTTCTATCTCCAAAATTTGAGGTAATGCTCTTGCTATTTTCGCCTTTTTACTATTTTTGCTACTTATTTTGAATTTATTATTACCATTACCACTTATGCTCTTTGATATTATAGTTACTGAGATGTGTGAGCTACTGTGTCCAAATAATTTCCCTTGTGGATCAATAAAGTTTGGCTAAGTCTAAGCAATGCAAGAGAAGGCAGATCATCCACCAGGAAAGTTACATGTTTCTTAATAAGGGTGAACTAAGAAAAGTGTGCTAAAGTACATGATTTGAGTTTTGTCAAGCACCAAATGATGATTAGATGAGTCAGAACTGCTTTACTGGAATGATGCGGTCTGCTTCAATCCAATGGGTCGGATCCAATTTCTGTGAAAGTTCATGCGAAGTCCAGTAATGTGTCAG